CTCAGCCATGTCCAGCCCGGAGCCCCGGCGCAGCGGGGACGGCGCCGCCCAGGCCGCGAGGTAGGACGGTCCCTGGCCCGTGTCGCCGCCCCTGGGGAGGGGGTGCTGCTCGGATTCCCTCCCGCCGCGAGCGTCTTTCACTGGGCGGGGGGCAGTGGTCCTGCGGGGGTGGGGCACAAGGCGGAGGAACCCCGTGAAGGGAGTTGAGGAGTCCGGCCTGGGGGCCCGGCACCACCGTTTGTCTGGGTTTTTTTTAAAATAGTTCCCCCTCCCCCTCCCACAGGCGATGTAAGGATTAACCCCTTCAGACTAATGGGCATCAACCCTCGGATGCCATTCGGCCCCTAGTGGCCAAAAACGCTACGTTTTCTTTCATTCCTCACCCCAAATGCAGCTGGAGATGAAGGCTGAATCGGCCTGTGGAAGACACTTGGTGCAAGGCTGGGTGGCTGCCAGCTTGGAGTTGAGAGTTTGTTCAGGCAGCCCGTTCTCTCTGGTCTGGGGCCTGGGATTATGTGGGGAGGGTCTACTGTCCCAGACCAGCAGGAGGGCCATGGCTAGCTGGGGAGGCCTGGAAGGGAGGGCCTCACCATCCATCCGCACTGTCAGCTTGCCACTAGTTAGGGGGAAGGGAGCCGTGGCTGAAGAATTTGGGGCGAATATGGTGCATTTCTGCCCCAGGTCATCCTGAAGCCCTGGACTTCCCAGTGTCCCAAGAGGTGGAGGTGCAAATACACACACCTAACACCACTTCACTGTCATCAGGGCACAACTGAGCCTAGTTTGCACTTATACTCATCTGTACTGCCACACACACATATGGGTACATGCAAAGTCACACACCAATTCATGCCTACACAGTGTCACAAACACTCCCAGCCACAGCCCTGATGGACAGGGTTGAGAGCTGCTGGAATCCTCTCGGGACAGGGACAGAGTGGCAGAGGCAGTCTGCTTGGGGCCCAAGGAAACCTGAAGTCAGGGGTCCCATCTGAGCTGGCTCCCTTGCCCCTACATCTTCCATAATCTGCTTTCTCCCCAGCAACTTAGAGAAGGGCACTGTCTGAGGGCAGCACCTGGCAGAGGCCTGGCACTGTGGGTGAGGTGACTGAGGCAACAGGGTGTGTGGTAACAGCACTGCCTGCCAGTCAGGAGACCTGGGTTCTACTTCCAGCTTTGCCACTTGACCTTGGGCAAGTTTCCTCCTTGGATCTCAGTCGGTTGCTGCCTGCCTACCTTCTGCCATTGAGCCCCACCCTGGGATATAGAGCGAATCACTGTGCTTGTGTTTAGGAATGGACTCTCAGGGGAGACAGACACACACTTCTATAATACAAAGCACTTAGTGTGAAGATGAGCTGCATCAAAAATGCATTGAATGGGGTTGTCTGGGAGGTAGAGTGTAAGCAGGACTTGAAGGAGGAGTAGAAATTTGTTAGGTAAATAGATATAAATACATTTTAAATGCTGGGGCCAGGCTCTGTTATACTTGTTTGGCCTCTTTTAGACTTCATGCTCTCCTGAGAGTGGTAAAAAGGAGCTCGGGCTCTGGGGGCCAGACTGCCAGGCTTCTCCAGGCTCCACCACTTATGAATTGTAGAACTTCAGTGTGCTCTTTACTCTGTGCTTTGGTTTCCTCATCTACAAAATGGGGATAACAGATGAACATCATATAAATGAGTATTCATGTAAAATGCTTAGAATACTGCCTTGAACAGGATTACATCATTCCTGGGTGAAGGACTCCGCTGGAGCACGATGTAGGGGCTGACTGGCTGGGAAAGCAGAAACTGTGGAGGATTTGGAGGGTCTGGCTGGCCAAGCAGGTGCATCCTTCCTGGCACTAGGAGCTCTACCTTTCCAGGTAGTATAGGACTGTTCTCTAGCCAGGTGGTATACAATGAGTTTTTTTTTTTTTTCCACCTCAGCTGGACCCTTTAGATATTGTGGACTAGGAGTAGGAGGTGTAAAAAGTTAATGCGTGTTCTGGATTGTCAAGCATTGGTGGGCTGTGGGGAGTCATGTGAGATGAGGCTGAAAAGGTATGTTTGGGGCCACATCTTTAAGGACCTTGAATCTATGCTAAGTAATTGGCTATCTAGGGGTGAAGTGGAGCAACGTGATTTGCTTTATGTTGTAGAAGGCTGCAGCTCTGTAGAGAATAGATTGGGATCAGGAGGAGGAAGAGGAGGGAGAAGGCTCATGGGAAGGCTGGTGCAAAAGTGCAGATGAGAGATGATGACTTGGACCAGGGCCCTGGTAGTAGGGTGAAGAGGGGGATGGAGACTGGGGACTTCCTGAGATAGAGAAGTCAGTGCTCAGTGAGTTGGCTGTATAGGGGAGGGAAAGCGCTGTTTAAAGACTTCTCGTCTCATCATCACATCTCGTATATGATGATGTGTTTCTCTGAGCTAGAAAATACAGGTGAGACAAGCTCAGGGGAAAGGATAATTTGGTGGCAGTTGAGTTTGACGTGCCAAGTAATACCAGGTGAAGATATTTAAAAAACACTCCATCTCAGGTAAAGTGAAGTGAATGGATTAGGTGATTGTTGAGTTGTCTTCAAGCATTAGGTTTGGTGCAGGTGATGGGGTTGAATGAGGCCAGTGATGTCTGGGGCCTGGTGAAGCCACACTGCGGTTTTCAGAGGGCCACTATGAGATACAAAAGGGAAGCTGGAGATTCCTGGGGTGTTAAGAGAGGAGGGCCAAGCGCACAATGATTTGGAATAAAAATAATCTCTTGGGAACTTGGAGCTAAGAAATGGAGCTTAAAACCTGGACACAAGTAAGCCTTTTCAAGACAAATAAATCAAATTCTTTGCTATGTGGGGCTTTTCATTTATACTTCCTATCAAAAAGAAGTTTATTGAAAGCTACATTCAAGTTTAGTCTGTTTTATAACTGGTACACGCTGAGTATGAGTTTCCTGCAAATTACTTAATCTCTTTAACCTGTTTCCTGACCTGTAAAACGGGGATAATAAATGTAAACACCTTATAGAATTGTTATGAGGATTAAATGAATTGATATATGTAAAGCATTTAGAACAGGGCCTGGCACATAGAAGACCTTCCAAAGTGTAATTTATTATTATTATTTCCATGGTATTTTATATTTTTGAAGAATTGCTCAGAGATCCACAGGGGGTAAGATGCATTTGAAACAAGAAAGACCAAAGCCACTTGAGGGTGGCAGGAGAGCATTCTTTAACAGGAAGTGAGTAAGCTAGCAGGCCACAGGCAGCTGGATTAAGGGGCTCATCTGTTAGAGTCACAGAATCTGAATTCAGGAACATTTGACAGGCTAGAAGAACAGGCCAATGCTAACAAGATGAAGTTTTCCAGGGACAAGAGATGTGGTTTAAAAGCACTTGGTATGAAAAAGTCTTAAGGATTTTAGCCAAACTCAGCACTTGTCAAGAATATGATGGAGCTGCCCTTGATGCTTAGGGCATCTTGGCTGCATCAATAGGCGTAGTGTGTCCAGAAATTCACTGCTCAGAGCACACCTGGATGCTGCTTCCACTACCCACCCCCAAGGGATAGTGACCCTGTCAATTTGGAGCCTATCAGAAAGAAGTGACCCAAATGACGAGGGCACCGGAAACCCTGGCATGCATGGAATAATAGAAGGATGAATCAGCTCTCTTCAAGTGTCTAAAGAACTTACATGGAAAAGAAGTTAGATTTGTCTGATTCTAGAAAGGAGAATCAAGTCCAGGGGAAATTTGCTGGGAAGGTCTTACCTCAATGCTAGAAGTTTCTTATGACAGTGTGACAAATAGTGGCTCAGGTATGAGTTTCCTGTCCTTGAAGGTATATAGGCAAAGGCTCAACATTGACATCATGGGATGTTGTCAGGAGATCCAAGCAGTGGGCTGTGTGGGGACAGATCGATGGCAGGGAGGGGCGGACAAATGTCCCCTGAGCTGTGAGAACTGATAGAATCTAGGCCTGTGGTCTAGTGGCTCTAGTCACCAATCATCTGGGGACTGTGACTGCCCTCTCACCTTGTCATTTCTTTTGCAGAGAAACAAGAGCAGAGGCTACGTCTCCTCTTCAGGAGGAGAGCTCTGACTCCCTGTATGAGGTGGGCATCTGGAACCCAGAAGTTACTCTGTCTTTGGAGGGGACCTTGAACTTAGAGGACATTCTCTACCTGGGGGACCCAGGTAACCTTGATGAGGCCCTGTATGTGGAAGAGACAGAGATGCCGGAGGAGACACTGTATATTGAGGAGGCCAGGCCACCAGATGAAGCCCTGTACGTGGAAGAGTCAGTGAAGCCCGAGGAGACGGTGTGTGTGGAGGAGCCCGCGGAGCCAGGAAAGACCACAAGCCCAGAGCAGGTCATTTATGGGGGCGAGACTGCCCCAAGTGAGGAGAAACCTAACCTGGAGGAGAGCCTCAGAGCCGGGCCAAGTCCCAGCACAGAGGGAAGCCTGAGCATAGAGGACCTGGAATTGCTGGAGGGGCGTTTCCAGCAATGTGTCCAAGCCGTGGCCCAGCTGGAAAAGGAGAGGGATCAGCTCATCCACGAGCTTGTGTTGCTCCGAGAACCAGCCCTACAGGAGGTGCAGCAGGTCCACCAGGACATCTTGGCTGCCTACAAACTGCACGCCCAGGCAGAGCTGGAGAGGGATGGGCTGAGAGAGGAGATCCGGCTGGTCAAGCAGAAGCTGTTCAAGGTGACAAAGGAATGTGTGGCCTACCAGTACCAGCTGGAGTGCCGACAGCAGGATGTGGCCCAGTTTGCCGAGCTCCGGGAAGTGCTGACCGCACGGGCAGCCCAGCTCTCAGAGGAACTGGCCCAGCTCCGGGATGCCTATCAGAGGCAGAAGGAGCAGCTACGGCAGCAACTCGAAGCACCTCCAAGCCAGAGGGATGGGCGTTTCCTCCAGGAAAGCCGACGGCTCTCTACCCAGTTTGAGAACCTCATGGCAGAGAGCCGTCAGGGCCTGGAGGAGGAGTATGAGCCTCAGCTGCTGCGGCTCCTCGAGAGGAAAGAAGCCGCAGCCAAAGCGCTACAGAAGACCCAGGCCGAGATCCAGGAGATGAAGGAGGCTCTGAGACCCCTGCAAGCAGAGGCCAGGCAGCTCCATCTGCAAAACAGGAACCTGGAGGACCAGATCACCCTTGTGAGGCAAAAACGAGACGAGGAGGTGCAGCAGTACAGGGTAGGCCCACTGGGCATGGAAGGAAGTGTGGTCTTTTAGCCTGAGGAGGAACAGGTGACCCGTCAAATACCTTTGGGCTGAAGGATACTGTCATATGTAAGAACAATCTGTTCTTTGGGGTCAGTCACTCACTTCTTTACTCCATGCTCCGTTCCATTCATTCTGACTGTGCTAGGGCTGAAAGTTATCTGCATTCTTAGTTTACACAGCACTTTGGCACCAATTATCTCACTTGATCTTCGTTAACTCTCCAAGTCAACTATTATCATTTTTCATAGATGAGGAAACTAAGGCTCAGTGAGATGGAGTAATCTGAACTCTAGTCTAACCAGCCCCAAATATTTCAGTGCTCTTTCCACAGCACAGTTTTCCAGTTCTGAGTGAATCACACTTGGGTTTATATAGAGCAGGAGGGAATGGGGCTGGGTAGAATTCATGCTCTCCCCTCTCCCATATTCACCCTCAAGTCCCACCTGGCTGATCTCTGCTGATTTCTTCCAGTCTTAAAAAACTGAGATGAAATCTATAAAGCTCTATTCCTTATTTTCCTTCTTTGTGCATTTGTTACCATTTCACTTGTATTCAAGCTGTTTCTGCTTGTTGTAATCTCTTTTATATAAACACTAGTGGGATATAAACACTAGGTGCATAAACAATTCTCTCTCTCCCAGACTGTGAGCTTTCAGAAGATAGGGAGTTTTACTTGTCTCTGCCACCAGGCTCAGAGTACACATCAGTCAAGTGCTGACTTAAGTGCTGCTAGGCGCTGTGAGAAGACTACGGTGTGGTGCTTTTCAGAGCAGTACGTTTGTCTTGTGAAATACATGTTCTTTTAGATAAACTTAAAAACTTATGCCCTCTCAGAGATTTTGATACATCCTTAAGGGAATGTGTCCTCTTTTGAAAACAGCTGCATTCACTTCACTGAAGATTGTATTATGAAAACCGTGGGTTTTTTTTTTTTGGTCATAATATTGAATATTTTCAAACTAGGCATATGTGTACACCCCTCACTCACCCAACACCGGACCCATCTCCAACACATTGCTTTTTTATTGGGTCACAATCTAGTGTTAGGGCACTAATTATTTTTGCATAAACAAATACTATCCTTAGCAGCTTATACTCAGTCAGATGTTACATTAATAACTGTAACCCAGGGTAGAAAATAACATGTGATTTAAGAGGTGCAGATAAGAGTGTTATCGGATGATGACGTATTTTAGCCATGGATTAAATCAGAGAACCCTTCACAGAAGATGGTGTTGTTTGAGCTAGGTATTGAAGTATAGGGAAGATCTAGAACAGTGTTGTCCAACAGAAATATAATGCAAGCCACATATATAATTTTAAATTTTCTAATAGCCACATTAAAAAGGAGAAATACATGAAGGTAATTTTAATATATTTTATTTGACTCAACAGATCTAAAATATAATTAGTAACTTGGCTGCATGTGAAAGGTGAAAAACTGAGAGGTGAGTTGAACTGTAAAGGTAGGTCAAGGCAGATCACATTGGACTTTGAAATCCAAACTAGGGAATTTGGACTTTATTCAGCGATAAGTTGCATTGTTAACAGTATTTAATCAAGGGCTTAACATGATTGTCTCTACTTTTAGAAACAGTATTGGTGTCAGTGTGTAAAATGGGCTAGGTACCCAGAGGCAAGGGACACTAGGAAGCTACAGTAGATAAGAGAACACACGGTAGCAGGAATAAAAGGAAGGGGAAGGATGTAAGAACAACTATAGAATGAACTTGGCTACAGAATGAGTCAGGCAGAGAGAGGTGAGAAGTCGAGAGGATGCTGACATTTCAGGCAAGGCTAACTAGGATGGTGATGCTGTTAAATAAGGAATTCCCTGGATTAGTGTTCTAACATAGAATTTTCCCCCGTGATTTTCATCACTGTACTTGTTTCAGATTTGATGATCTGTGCAGCTTTCCATTATATGAAAAACAATCTTGGTGAGTGTCTCCTATCACTATGCCATAATTAAAATAGGGCTAAAGGTCTGAAGGAGCTAATTCTTCTTTCTGAAATGGCTTCTTCCTAAACTGTTTGCCAGAGGTTACATGTAGCATCTGATTACTTTTCAAGGATAGGCATCATTCTTACAATTGCAAACTTTGCCTCTTTCATCACCACCATCCATTCATTCAACAGATATTTTCTAAGTGTATGTTTACTATGTGCCAGGCAGTGAGCTATGTGCTGGCAAAACAGATGAGAAATGGCATTGGGGGTTGGGGGTGGAGAGGCAGTCCCCACCCCCAAAAAGTTTATAGTCCAGGAAGGATACTAGATAAAATGATTTCAAAAATCTAGGACACTTGATTTTAAGATCCATCCTGAGCTAAGCTGTTAAAGAGTGTGAGTTTTAGAATCAATGAAATAATTAATATGCTTCAATGTGATACTGTAATAGTTGTAGGAATAAGGCATTGTACTGATGAAGCAGGTCTAATTACCCCTGCCTGGGGAAACGAGGTATTTCATAAGATTAACAATACCTAGCATGTACTTGAAGTTCTTCACGTGTAATAATTCATTTAATTCTTACCTCTGAGATAGGTCTGAACTACTGTCACCATTTGAAAAACAAGAAAACAGGTGAGTCATGTGTCCAGGGTTACACAGCTAGCAAGTGATAGAGGAAGGATGCCACCGTGTGCGATCTTTCTCAAGTCCACATTCATCACTACAAGATGTCTGAGCTGAGCCTTAAAGAATGAATTCACTGTGTAGACAAGGGAAAGGCATTCTAGGCAGAGGGAACAGCTTATACAAAAGCATGAAAACACAGACATGTTGTGGGACGTGAGCAGCTCAGTGTGGCTGGATCATAAGGAATGTGAGAAGCAGAAAGGTGAGGCTGGAGAGGTAGATTGGGACCAGGTTGTAAAGGGCTTTATGTAGTCTTTCGGTCAGTGGTTTTCAAAAAGTTTTCTTCAAAGCCACAGACCCCTTCCCCAAAACAATCTTATATAAATGCCAAGATATAAAGCAGGCAAAAGTGGAGCTAACTTCTAACTAAAGAGTGGCAAGGACACTCCAATATGGCCTCCTGGGGTTTCATGGAAAACAGTTTGAAGACCACTAAAGATTCTACTGGCAATATAACAGTTATTAAGAGGATGGGTTCTAAACCAATGGCAAATCCTGGCTCTACCATTTACCAACTGGGAACCTTTGGACAAATTACTTGACCTCTGTGGTTCAGCTCCCTCACATATACAGTGGGATTAATAGAGCTGTTGTAAGAAATGAACTAGTTAATATTTGTACAGCACTTCCAATGGGGCCTGGCACATAGGTATGTACTCTTTACGTGGCAGTGTGGAAGGTGGACTGATAGAGCCTAGAAAGTCCACTTAGACTTTAAGAGAGATGAGAGATGTGAGGTAAAATGGGTAGGATCTGGTGATTGTTTGCAGTGATGGGGTGAGGAATTTGCCAAAGTTTTTAGTTTGAAATTGGTAGTGTGCCAATGCTAAAGATGGAATATGCTTACTATCTGCATGCTTCACATCAGTAAGCATAGTGTGTAGGGTGCTGGACATACTAAGAACCAGGAATTTACAGTCTGGTTGGGAGCTAGAAATTAATAAATTGCAATATAAGGGAGCAGATGCTGTCTAGGTCACAGAAATGGCAGGAGTCAAGGCCCAGAAGTCTGACTCGGTCAGACTAGAGCAGCACTGTCTAACAGAAGTACTGTGCAAACCACAGATGTCACTTAAAATTTCCCTGTAACCACATTTAAAAAATGTAAGAAGAGGTGAAATTAATAATTTTATTTAACCCATGTCAAAAATATTATCATTGTAACATGTAATCAACATTAAAATTTGAGATACTTAGTATTTTATACATACATATTTTTGGTGCCAAGTCTTAAAAATCTGCTGTATCTCATCTTTAGAGCACATCTCAATTCAGACTAGCCATATTTCAAGTACTCAGTAGCCACCTGTAGCTAGTGACTTCCATACTGGACAGTGTGACTATAGGAGTCATGGAGGTTCTAGTTAGAGGTAAGGGTCAAACTAGAGGGGTTCTGAATGCCCTAAGGGACTAAGGAAAGTGGAATTTATGAAATTGAGATGATAAAGCAGTTTCTAGAAAGTTAACCTAGCGGTGCTACATAGGATTAAGACTGGAGATTGTCCTTTACTGTCACTGTAACAATACTTCCTTCAATCTGTGAGGTTCTCCTTGTCAAGAGTTTATCAGTGATGTGCAGCCTGCCTTCCCAAGCATGTACTTTTGTGAGGTTTGGGAAACTGGGGCACAGAGGTATACAGTTGCTTTCCTTTAGATAACCTGCTCTTTGACGGTAAGGCCACATCTCTGTGTGGTGTCAAAGCATGGCTAGGCAGTAAAAAAAGAACTTTTGACAATGTTGACAAAAGTTGAGATTCAACCAGAGTATTAAACCCTGCAGACTGACATGCCACAGGTATATCAAGGGCGACTCAGAACAAATTATTTAGATCCTTCTAATGATAGCATGTATCCAAACTGGATTCCTATGTTGTTATTCTTCAAAGTCTGCGCTGAAGTCATTGCCCCTTAAAAATATGCCTTTCAACACTCCCTTCCCTTCCCAACTCCCTCCTGATTCCTGAGGATCCACGTCAGCTAGCAACTAAACCAGACTGATTTGCTGACATCTTCCTTTCTTCATGCCTCAGGCATTAAACCTTGGCAGAGACAGTTTACAGAATGTATCCCACCTGTTTTGGCAGAATGGGAACTAGTTATCTGAAGACTCCTGAGGGCCTCCAGGGCATACCAACTTCACCTTCCAACTTAGCATTTTAGAACAACTTGTCCTTATGTGTAATGAGTAAAGAATGTAGGAAATTAACAACCACGATAGCCAACATCCTTACTAAGGCATCTATTTGCATGTCAAGTTGTAGTAAATACTAAGTAAAGACTTCTGACTTCAGGGAGCTTCAAATATGAAACTGTATTTACTGTTTTTCCTCTAACCAAACAACTCAAAAATCTTCTAAACCTGGAATTCTATTAGCTGAACAATGCTCCTAGAATTCTAGTTAATATTCAATAACTGCTCACACAAAGACTTGTTTTTTTTTCCAACTTAAATTGTTTAAGTTGCAGAATGCTATAAAAACTATTCATTATCTTAATGGGAATATCTAAACTTGCACATAGAGTGAGGGATCTAGAAAATTCTCAGCTCACCAATTAGACAAAATCCTCACCTTCTGAAGATTGTGAAACAAAGAAGTCCCTCTAAGAACTTGTCCACCCTTTGCAGGATTCTATACATTAAGAAGCTGTGGTTAACAGACAAGATTCCTTTCAGGTCACCATTTTCAAAAACAGCATCACTGTCAAAACAGTTTCTTTGAATCTCAGGTTCTTAACCTCAACACTGCCATGAAGATTAAACGATGTGTAAGAAGGTGCTTTATAATATTATGGGCGATGTCAGGTTTTTATTGTTTGGCTGATTAGAAATGTTCTTGGCCTTCTCCTGCAGGAACAGCTAGAGGAAATGGAAGAACGACAGAGGCAGCTAAGAAGCACGGTGCAACTCCAGCAACAGAAGAACAAAGAGATGGAGCAGCTAAGGATCAGCCTTGCTGAAGAGCTCTCAACTTATAAGTCAGTTTTTGCTGCTACGCAAATCTCAACTAACACTGGCTGAGGGATGGTGGGGAGGGGAGATAGATGTTCCTCATGGGAAATTTCACTTTAAAGTGAAAAACAAAAAAATAATTTGCAGTGATTTTCAAATTGTGCTCATCCATGACCAGATGGAAAATTGCTCTCTTTTTTTAAAGGGCTATGCTACCAAGGAGCCTGGAACAGGCTAACCCTCCCACTTCTGAGGCAGGGGGAATTGAGACACAGTCACAAGGTGATCCTTGTGGGCTTAAGAGTGGTGTTTGCGTTGGTGCTGCTATCCTAACCTAACAATACTAATGCCTTAAAAAAAAAAGTGTCTAATGACAAGTAAGGATATCCCAATTAGGGATTAACACATACCTTCAAATGGCCCATTGCAGGCATTCAGGGTTCATTTGTTATGTTGTAACTTTTAGTAGGACTCAAAATATGCCCTAATTATCACCAGGAAACCTGGAAGAGGATAAAACATCTAGGCTCTGCAGTCTTACTTTCCTCACCCTATCTGACCCTCTCTGCTATTCATAAAGTTTCCTTAGAATAGCAGAGAAGGCAGTTATGCTACCAAATTCAGACTATGACAAAGGAAGCCAAGAAGGCTAAGTTAATTTGCTAAATAGTCATTAAAAAAGCTGAAGAGGGTGTTGTTGAGATTGAAGGACGACAGTATTGCTTAATTTGTGAAACAAGCAACACATCTATCCATCAATTTCTTTACATACCAATTATGTTTTCATATTCCTTATAAAGTCCTATATTCTCTTGGATAAATAAAGTTAGGATTAGAAAGTCCAAGCTGGATACTAGATAAATGTCCATAAATTAAAATTTCCTAATTAATCCTATATCTTGAACACAAATTCACAAATAACAATTTTTTTAAAGCTTTAAAAATTAAAAAAAAAATCTTATTTAAAAAAAAATTTTTTTTGGAGGGAGGTAATTGAGTTTATTTTACTGTTATTTTTAATGGCAGTACTGGGAATTGAACCCAGGACCTCGTGCATGCTAAAAGCACGCACTCTACCACTAAGCTTTAACACCTTCCCCGCAAATAACTATTATAACTCATGCTTTCCCTAATTTACTAAGATTTTCTTTTACTGTTTTATCCAGGCATAACTGATAGTCTGGGAGGTTACTAAAAACTTGTAACTGAAGAAAATGATCTGCTAATTGCCTTTGTGTGGATCAAAGTTCACAAGGGAAAATACAATGATTCATCCAAAGAATCACAAGTACAGAATTTCAGTTCTTGTACTACCTGTGTAATTAACATGGGCAGAGAAAATTTTTAGCTAGCCCCTCCCATCACCACCATAGGAGATACTCAAATATTTGCTGGGGGAAAAGTCATCCCTGATTTGATGTCAATCACACTCTAGCAATCTCTCCCCAACATGGCCTGCACTAAGCTTCAGAAGTTCATTGTTAAAAATTTTATACTGTATTATTTGAAGTTGCAGAAAATTTAAACTCATTCTTTTTTCTCTCAAACTTACAGGGGCTGTTTAGAAACCTATGGCCGAATCTGTAACTGAGAAACAACAACAGAAAAACATTTCCTAGCAAAGGATCACTAAGTATCCTTTGGACAGACTTTTTTTTCCAAATAGAGAAGGGAGTGCCAGGGACTTGGCAAGCAGTTCTGGGAAAGTTACAAATACTGGCTGACCTGTTTAAAAAGATTCTAGGGCTGGCTGGAGGCAGAACACTATCAATCAGCTCTTGGCTGGATTCTGTTTTGTAAGCTTCTGGTAGTGATCTCAGCGGACTGAAGAATATATAAATGTGCCTATCACCCAGATGCAACCCTCCACGTGGCACTGAGTAAAGGATGAATGTACGGACACATCTACCTTGCAGTGCTGTTAAGAATGTTATCTTACCTTGTATTGATCCAAACCAAAAACCTCTTCAGGAACACAGATGGGGTCAAAGACAGCAGATTTTCATTACAGTTGACACTTGAACAACATGGGGGTTAATCTGCATATAACTTAGTTGGCCCTTGGTATCTGAGGTTCCTCCACATTCATGGATTCAACCAACCACTGACGGTGTAGTATTGTGTGACATTTACTATTGAAAAATATCTGTGTATAGTGGACCTGCACAGTTCAAACCCATGTTGTTCAAGGGTTAACTGTACATGGGTTTACAATTTTAATTCTTTTATGCCATGAGTGTTAAGACTTTAAATGAATTCCTTTACAAAGTTTACTTTTCTTTAAGTCTGTGCTGACTCATGTAGATTATGTGTCAATTTTCACTATATATGTCAATTTTCACTATATATGTCAATTTTCACTATACTCTAAAAGAACTACTGACTTACAGAAAAGAACCAATCCAGATTTGAACTTAAAGCTTACGGATATTCAGATTTCTCCAAACACCTTACCTCATGACAATGATGTGGGGTCAGAGCAATCTACTCAGTTTAACTGGGTGATTGGCAAGGAACCAGAAGTTTTATCTGGTTATGGCACTTGGCTTTCAAGAGCCTACTTTCCTAACCTCTAACTATAGGCCCCCAGTGACAAACATACTGGGGAGATTCAACCTCTCTATGAGAAAAGGTCAAACACCTTTTCCAAATTTAAACTTTGCCTTAAATTCTCTGCCACACTGCCTTTGATGTTCTTGAAAGTCCACGTAGTTCTTAGAGATAGACTTCAAAAATGTGTTATTTTATCAAAGACTAATCTGTGCACCTCTGATTCAGTATTTTATGTCTTTCACTTCCCCTGGGAAGGAGTAAAAGCTCTTTTCTATACTTCTGGGTCTATTATATTTAATTCTGCTCTTGGCAGTCAGAGATCATAGAAAACAACTGTCATCTGAACAACTCTTCTAGAAGCCAGAGACTGGTGTTTGATGGATGTTACATACTAAATAAAACCCATCAGCATGGGGTTATGTAGAAAAGCAATTTATTCCATTATAAGCACTTACACAGTTAGTCATGGAGAGTAACAGGCCTGCTGGTGAAACAGGTCACCCAGAATAAGAGACGG